GTATATGCTACATAATTGTGTTTATAGTTACGACAAAAGTATTAATATTTGAATATTTTTTCCTTTTAAAATAAAATTCTACTTACGAACAACATTTTACAATTAGTTTCTATAACAATAATTGCTCAACCGATAATTGCTTTACGGATAATTGCTAAAATAATTAATTCTTCGAGGTTATCAGTTATATTATAAGTAAGGACAAATCATCATTTGTGCAGTTTAAAGAGGTAGAATATATAGATATTTCAAAAATTACAAATAGAATGTATACTTAAAAAATTAGAAATATTGAAGTATACACTTTATTTTTGATACTGTGTTCCACTAAACATTACAGTGTGCTATTCCTTATCTTATATGAACGACAAATTTAATTTTTAATTATTATTTATATCAAAAAAGAATTTCGAAAATGACATATTTAAAAAAACAAAAGGATTAAATAAACAGACACGGATCTTATCCAATAATTATCTTCCTATTATTAAAAGTATATCCCTTCTAATACAACCAATACTTTAGCACTTAGTTACTGTCAACCTTCCACATTTTCTTTTTAACGATAACGAAATACAGACAATTAAATATTTTAACATCAGAATGATCCTTCCATCATACAAGTTAATTGTGATATACATAAAAAAGTGGTGTACGTTTTTCGATAATTATACAGGTACGAAAACGTAAGTTAACTTAAGTTAAGATTAGCTGATTAATTAGCATACAGTTTTATTAATTATGTGTTAGGAATTGAAACTCTTATATTTATTTTTAAAAAACACGATATCAAGAAGATCCTTAAGCTATCTGTATTACCGATTAAATCACAATTTTTGTATAACAATTATTTTTTTTATAAAATTATGGTTTATAATTGAGCAAATTAAAGTTATTAACAATATATATCAAATTTATTATACGAAGAAACATATAGTATTGACATATAAAATTGAACGTTTCGGAACACACAGGTTCTTCTTCAACAATAATATGAAAAAATGATCGATCTCAAATGATTTACATTACATATAATGGCAATGGAATTCAAATGGTTGTGAATAAAGCGATATGTATCCTTAAGCCTTAAATTCCTGTTTTTTGATGTAAGTGCAAATCGATATTTTGGATAATGTTCGTCAATATTCAGTGTCGAAAAATGAATCTGAATTGAAGTTCCGGTTATATTACCTATATTATATAATATAAAAATATGATACAATAGATGTCATATGATTAAAATGTAATCAAAAATTAAAACAAAGTGAGATTTATATGAATAGAATTAGAATTATGTTATATTTAATATTAAATTAATTGTCAAAACAATTGTTAAAACAAGATTATTTTGAATAATAAAAATTAAACAATATTAAAAATCTTTATTTTAAACCGCATATGTGAGAAATGCAATCAATATTAGAAAAATGCCTATTATGGTCGAAGCTGGATTTTTATTGCTTTAAATAATTCAATTTTGAGATTCTTAAATAATTAACAATCTTAAATAATTCTCTCTTACTATATACACTCTATATATATATTTGCATATTGTAACCTTTTTAGAACTGTGCACCGAATTGTTCTTCTGGACTATAAACGTAATTAAAACTACTCTAGTAATCGCGAATTAAATTGACAAGCAATTTAATAATTTGATGCTATCAAATTTTTATTATATTATATGAGATGTTAATATGTTAAAACTGTTAATAAATTTATTACGAAAAATATTATCTTGGCCGGGAGTCGAACCTGGATCTCTTGCGTGCGAGCGTCCTAAACCTTTAGACTACCGAGACCTTAGTAATATTTTTCGCAATAATTAGCACATAAAGGAACAACGTCTCTTTAGGCGATGTAAATAAACATTATTTTGTATTATTATCAAATCGACGTTTTAACAACTAACATTTTTCACCCCGTTTGATATCCCAGTGCAGGCTTATGTGCTCCTTATTAATCATATTATTTTAATTATTGATTTGAAAAAAAAGTTGACAATTATTTGTTACAGTTACTTGTTAATAGCGTGAAGCAGATTTTTTAAATTTTCGATTCAGTAATTCGAAAATAAAGATGGCGCCAAAGATTTTAAGCACAGATTCGAAAACACTTATGGAGAAAGATTTACCAAATGAGGAATCTTTGATTACTACAAAGACGATAGATGAAAATAACAAGCAAAATAGAAGCGAGAGTTATATAAGAAATGAAGTCTGGTTCAAGACAGAGCTGAAATGGATAAACGTCGTAACTATTAGTCTTCTCCACTTATGCTTCATATATGCCTGTTTTACTTTTAACTTTTTCGAAAATCTAATGACAACTGCTTGGAGTAAGTATTCTTTGGAAAATTCTTTCATTAATTTGATTTCCTATTATAAAAAAAACCTATATAATAAAAAAATAAAATTTATCAACGAATTAATCATTAAAATTGTAATGCATGTTTATAAAAAATGTCACAAATGTCGTTTTTCTGACAGCAGATTTAAAGAAATTACAATTGATTAGACTCGCGATTGAAGAGAGCACGCAATAGAAGCTTAATAAATCAACAAACTGCTGTTAAAAATTTCTCATTTCTATTGTACCATATTAATTAAATATGTCATAAATCATCTTGAATTGTCAAATCAGTAAAACCCATACTAGAAATACGGATTATTATTCACAATTTTAAAGCATTTATAGTGTTCTAATTGCGTTTCGACCTTTTTTGTTTCAAGTATATGGCATGATTATAATAGCAGGCTTTGGTGTCACCGGCGGTGTTCATCGTTTTTGGACCCATCGATCTTATAAAGCAAAATGGCAGCTTAGAACTATACTTGCCGCCTGCTATGCTGCGGCTAGCATGGTAAATGAATGTTTATAATTTATATGTTAGACAAAAGAATTTTTTTTTACAATTGTATCCTTTTAGAATGACATATTCGAATGGGTGCGAGATCATCGGGTGCATCATAAATATACTGATACGGATGCAGATCCGCATAACAGTAACCGAGGATTCTTTTTCTCCCATGTGGGTTGGTTGATGATGAAGAAACATCCGGATGTGATCCGAAGGGGTTGTAAGATCGATATGAGCGATGTATTGGCTGATCCCATTGCTGTATTTGCTATCAAGTAAGTTTGTGCAGGAAGTTATATAAGTTATACGAAATAATTTTATATTGAAAAAGACAAAAGAACACAAGAAGAAAGAAAGGTATTACGAAAATGTTTTTGCCGTTTCCTCGGAAAATATTTATAATTATGATAATTTTATGTAGCCTTCTCAACTTCTTCGAACATAGGACAGTTATGAAATTATATAACCAAATCTGAACAAAATTTGTAATTTGCATTTATTAGGAGTATATTTTCAAAAACAGATATAGAAACTCTAATATCTTTTAAAATGTTGATAATTTTTGTGCTAGATTTTGTCATATATTTTCATAAATGTTGTCTTATAAGAATTTGATTCATTTTGAAAGCATGTATTTAATATTCCGATATTTTTTGCAGCCCCTCCTGGTGAAAATTTTTCTCATAATTTTTATACAAATTGAAACATTTTTCAGAAATACTCAGAAATATTCGAAAAGTTTACATTTTCTCTCAGAATTTTTCACAAATGAATTCTGAAATATTCTGAAATTTCTCATCCCATAATTTTAGAAAAATATTTTTAAATTTTTTAGATTTTATAACATTTCATCAGATGTTATACTTACAAAAAATTTTATAAATTTCTTATAATATTTCATAATTAACATGGAAAATTCTGAGAAAAGATGTAGATTTTTTGAGAAGTGTTTCAATTCGTATAAAAAATGTGAGAAAGTTATAAAATTATATAGAAATTCTGAAAAATTATATGAAAAATTCTAAGAGAAATGTTCACCAGGATCTTTTAGAAAATCATTTAAATTTTTTTACGTAAGATATAAAACTGTGATAAAAACTACACACCGTAATTAATTAATGCTATTTTTCAGATATTCTTCGATATTAAAATTTATATTCGCTTTCTTGCTTCCGGTGATGTTGCCTGTGTATGCATGGAATGAGACTTGGTCTAGAGCTTTCGTGTCGCAGATTTTTATTCGTTACATTTTGGTTTTAAATTTCACATGGAGCGTTAATAGTGTGGCTCATATCTGGGGTTCAAGGCCATATGATGCGTAAGCAAATAATTAATATCAAAATTATTATATTCACATATAATAAATTTGATCTAAAAAAATCTAAAGCTTTCGTCATTTTGTATCGCCGAATAATTTTGTTTCATTTATTTTAATGACAGGCATATAAATCCAACAGAAAGCCTATTCGTTAACTATGCTACGATCGGTGAAGGATCACACAATTATCATCATATTTTCCCGTGGGACTATAAAGCTTCCGAGTTTAACGGTTCCATAACCACAAATCTCATTAAATTCTTCTCGAAAATCGGCTGGGCGTATGATCTCAAAGAACCGTCGGAAGAGCTTATAAAAACCGTTGCAATGAATAGAGGTGATGGAAGTCATTCTTTGTGGAAAGCTGTGCCATATTCAGCTAATAAAATTGAATAATAAAAATAACGGTTGTCTCATGATAGCGATTTTTGTGGACCAGTTAACAATAAATGTACGTGATCAAGATAATTTATTAAGTTAATAATATTGTTATAATAATATAATATAATAATATAATAATAATGTTATATAATAATATAATAATAATGTTAAAATATAAACTTGTTTTTTAGATTCCCTAGCACATGGTTTTATGTATGTTTCCTAAATAATGTTTATAGAACATTACATATGTTCAGGAAATGT